ATTGAAATTATTTTAGGTGGATTAGAGTAAATTAATTTATGAGACCTAGGGCGTGGTCAAATATATCAATCGAAAGGGTTTGACCACCTGAGTCCAAAACTGTAATTAGATCTCAAAAACGGCCAAGAGATTACAGAACTATGAACTAAAAGTTTGTATTTGAAAAAAAAACAACAACTCAGAACCGTTCTATGAGCCGCTATGCCGCGACTGAAAATATGGCAATAATGAAAAAATGTATATACAAACATAACACATGAGTCGAGAAAGTACAGCAGCTTTTTAACATTGACACATATTTATTTGATTTATAAAGTCAAAATTCAGAACTTAAAGACGACATTAGCTGATAGTTTAAAAATGACAAGTCCATTGTAGCGCTTATCTGACAACTATAAAATGAAAAAGGAAACAGCCAGCATCAAACGGGTAAAGGACAATTGAAATACATATACTTGTTGTAACTGTCCTGACCACTTGAAATTATATTTCGCTCGTGTTCTGATCTAGACAACTGAGGACCGAGAAGGGCTGACATAGCGTGAGGACTAACTATCTCTACTGATCTGTCAGTCTTCGTTGGTAATGTGGAGTAGTTAGAAGCCAAATAGTGTGTATCAGAGGAATACGGGTATAAGCAGAGAGGATGATGCAAAAGTGTACTTGTCTTGGAAGTACCATAAAAGAAGTGTCGATTCAGGCAAACGGCTAATGGTCTAGGTTTATTCCGTAAAATTCGGCTGATACTACTGACTGACGGGATGTTGTGTTTGTCACACAACCCATCAGTCAGTAAACGTTCTCTTATCTCCCAGGCAAAGATGGCCGGATCGTTCTTTTTTAGTTTCCTAATGTATGACACCACCTCGGGTGTGGTAACTCGAGGTTTGCTGCCACCAATAGCTCCGGGAAAAATTGAACCTGTTTCATAGTATCGGGTTAAGATTTTGGAGACACAACCATGGGATACTCGAAGTTGTCGGCTGATTTGGCATGGGCGAATGCCTAACTGTGCAAGCTCGACAATTTGAAGCCTGACTTCATTAGGAAGTGGTCGGCCGTTGACATAAACGCCTCCTAGCTGGTTTACTTCTCCAAACAATGGAACGGCTTTCAGAGAAAAAAATAAATAAAACGATTTAACTATATATTATTTTAATAAAATTAATAGAAGAGACACTATTTCTCAATAATCTAAAAGCATTTAACCGTAAAATAAGTACAAATCATTACTGTCTTATAGCAGTTTTATTTGTAAATGTTTAGAATTTTTTTTTCACTCTTTGTTTTTTAATAAATCATCATATAGTAAATGCAGCAACTGGTGGATATAAAACTGAAAACTATCTAAAATACAAAAACATGTATTATAACTCATATTCCAAAATGTGCTAAATCAAGAAATATTTTACAGAACAGGAAACCAATTACTTTATTAAATAATGTTTATAAATAAATTTCGGGACATATAGCTGAAAAGATAAAAACTGTGTTATCATTAAAATCAAAAATATTTTGTAAAGGTGAGTTTATTGGAGAAAATGTTAGAACTTTACATGATATTAGAAATTTTACTGAAAAACAAAACATATCACTTTTTTTACTATAATTAGACTTTGAAAAGAGTTTCGATACATTCTCTTGGACTTTTTAAAATAAAGTTGTTGATGCATTTGGCTTTGAAAAATTCATTTAAACAATAGATAATGTGTTTTTTTATATTATAATATTGTCCAAAATGTTTAGTAAGTGACTTTTCAAATTTAAAAGACGATCCAGAGACTTAAATTACTCTTCCTAATTTAAAATAGGACCCAGACAGTGAGATCCTCCCTCCCCTTCTTTGTTTATCTTAGCAATTAAAATATTATGAATAATTCTAGACAAGAAAAAATTTGCTACTGGAGAAAACGCAAGTGATTCGGGGTAATTTGATGATGCTGATTCCAAAAATGTAGTCACAATTAGTCCATTGCCTCTTTATCTTGTAATTATTATATTATATCAACATTTTATCACCACTATGTGAAATACCATGCAATTAACTCAGTACAATAGATTTATCCTGTGAAATTAAGCTTATTTGGACAGCTTAGTAGGTAAAATGCATTTTTGATAACTTCAAACATTGACTGTATTGCATCACTCTTGCTTCATTTCCATACTCTCCTGCTTCGCCCGAGAATCACAAAACCCTCACGTGCTCAGTTTGCTAGAACCTTCGAGAAGTCCCTCAACTGAGCATAAATGGAGCGGAGTCAGACACTTCTTTCTCAATTGCCTCTCACTCACTCAGTTGGTCACTTCGCATATAGTCAAAACAAAGTCAGATCTTTTTCCTCGCATCATACCCGCGATATAATCAAATTCTGCAAACGTTATTATATAAAATCTTTTAAACTCCAGTTCTGTAAACATAAATTCTTTTATATTTTTTAGAAAACCATTGAAATCCTGGCTGCTTCCAGTTCAAGTAAAGTCCGAAGGAATAACATCAAAGATACACAAAATAAAGGTAGCTTACTACTACTATTTTGGGTGTAAAATTGGTGACCAAGAAAAACATTGGACTCCACATGTGTATTGTACAGTTTGAACATCTGGCTAGACACAGTGGCTGAACAAGAAGAGAGCAAGTATGCCATTTGTAGTTCCCATGATATGGCATAAGCCCAAAGATAATCTAACTGACTGATATTTTTGCATGACTAATGTTTCTGGATATTCAAGCAATACTAAACAATACATTAAATATCAAGATATTGCATCTGCAATGAAACCAGTACCTCATGGAGATGGTCTTCTAGTGCCACATCCCCCAACAAATTAGGAAACAGAAGAGTTATCCTACAAAGAAGACAGTGAATCATCTTCATCCACGTCATCTAGTAATTCTATTCCTGTGGCACCTCAACATAAACTGCCTAATCTGATCACACAAGAAGAGCTAAATGATCTGAATCGTGACCTGTCTCTATCAAAGCAGCATGGGGAACTTCTTGGCTCTCGTTTACAGCAATTTATTCGCTCCAGGAACAAGAGTTTCAATTTACCGAAATCGCCATCAAAGTCTTGCTTCTCACTACAGCATGCAATATACTTTGTGTCTCTGTACGAATGTTGATCCACTAATGTAAGAATTAGGTACTGAACATCATCCTCAAGAATGGACTTTTTATCGACCCATCTAAAGTTGGTGTGAAAGCTGTACTTTTGCACAGTGGGAACATTAAGCCATCGATTCCTGTCGCTCATGCTGTGAAAATCAAAGAAACTTATCAAAGTATGCACATTATACTCGAGGCCATCAAATATAATCACCATAGGTGGAACATATGTGGCGATCTAAAAGTTATTGCCCTCCTGCTAGGCCTGCAGAGTGGTTATACCAAACATGTGTCTCTTAATCAGCTGACATGATAAAAATCATTTCAAAAAGAAGGAATGGCCAGTGGGAGAGAAATACATACCAGGAAAACATAATGTCGAGTATCATCCTTTAGTGAATCCTCAAAACATGTTTCTGCCTTCACTTCATATTAAACTGGGACTCATGAAGAATTTTGTAAAAGGAAATGAACAAAGAGGGTAATGGTTTCAGATATCTGTCTGAGAAGTTTACAGAAATCAGCTAAGCAAAAATAAAGGAGGTATCTTTGCTGGGCCACAGATTCGGGAAGTGCTGATGGATGATGGTTTTGAAACAGTACTCAATCGGAAAGAACTTGCTGCATGGAAATCATTCAAACTGGCTGTCAAAAATTTCTTAGGAAATCACAGAGATGAAAACTATGCTGTGATGATTGATGTTATGCTCAAGAAATACAGGAAAATGTGGTCTAGGATGTCACTAAAGATGCACTTACACGTCTTTCTAAATTAGCTGTAATGAGCGATGAGCACGGTGAGCGCTTCCACCAAGATACTTATACAATGGAACAGCAATATCAAGGACGATGGAATCCTGTGATGATGGGAGATTACTATTGGTTCTTACAGCGTGAAACTGAGAACATACACAAAGGGCACAACAAGTCAAGTAGATATTTTGTAATAAAAATATAAAATAATATCACGATGAAAGTTTTAAACATAGCCTGAATGTATTTTCAGTATATAATATTATTATATTCATTGCATTTTTAAACTGGTATTGCTAATATGTATTATTTTTGAACATTCTTAAATGCAATTTTCAATGAGTAAATACAGTTATTAAAGAAAAAAGTTGTTATTTTCACGATATATAAGAATATTTTGAATAAATTTATTATAAATCGAAAACTAGTGGTGATCAGTAATTTTCGACATGATTTTTAGAATCAGCATCGTCAAATTACTCAAAAACAGTTTTTTTTTCTAACAGCAGAGAATTATTTTTTGTTGAATTGAAGAAATATTTGTTTCTTTAATATGAATTTCGCGCAAAGCTACACGAGGGCTATCTGCGCTAGCCGTCCCTAATTTAGCAGTGTAAGACTAGAGGGAAGGCAGCTAGTCATCACCACCCACCGCAAACTCTTGAGCTACTCTTTTACCAACGAATAGTGGGATTGACCGTCACATTATATCGCCCCCACGGCTAAAAGAGCGAGCATGTTTGGTGTGATGGGGATTCGAACCCGCGACTCTCAGATTGCGAGTCGAGTGTGCTAACCACCTGACCATGCCGGGCCCGATTTTTTTTAATGGAAACAAATTAATGTTAAAAAAAAACTCATATACCTTAGAATCAGAATTTTCAATAAAATAAAAAACATTTTGTTTAAAGATATACAAAATATTGGACAATTAAATAAATCATCATTTAGAATTACAGAAAATATAAAACTAAGATGGTTTCAAATAAGAATTTTATATAGAATGTTGTGCTCAGGAAGCTTTTTAACAATATAATACTTGTTATTTGTATAAGTATAAATAAAACATCATGCTATTTGGTCACGCAGGTATAGACATTTTTTGGAGTAATTTTTGCTAGATTAATAAAACGATATACATATATAGTATAGACTATTAAGTTATTGTGTCTGACGTAGGAAGTATAATATCACAAACTGTTACTGTCTTATATTACATTGATTGCTATATTTTAT